ATTGTTCGGGCATACAAGCATATACTGCAGGCTGTTGTAGCAGCTGTTGAAAACACTGCTGATCTAGCCATCTCAATAGCAACATGCTTAAATGTCCTACTGGGAACACCGTCTGACACTGAGAGCGAATGTGATGAAAAGATAAAGTGGACCTGGGTAGAAACGTTTATTTCCAAGAGATATGGGTGGGATTGGAAGCATGAAGGTTACGAGGAATTGAGAAAATTCTCCATTCTTAGGGGACTGTCACACAAGGTTTGCGACTGTCAAATGTCAATCTGTCTTTTCTTTTAGTTGCGACAATCTAACCTTACGTTCTCATATGTTGTTTCAAAGGTTGGACTGGAGCTTGTTCCTAAAGACTATGAGATGGAGACATCATGTCCATTCAAGAAGTTGGATATTATCAGTATGGTTCCTGTATACAAGGTACCATTGTGCAACTATCTAACTCCAGTAGTAAGCCATAACAGAAAAGTGAAATTGTTAAGTGACTAAAGAGCACTAATTTTGTGTGCAGCACGTTGCATGTTCATCCGCTGATGGACGCACTTTGTTGGAATCATCCAAAACTTCCTTGGATAAAGGCAAACTAGAGGATGCTGTCAGTTATGGTACCAAGGTATAACTGATCTCTTTCTCGTTCCTCTTTTATATATTGACCACGTAATGAAGCTCTTGACTAGTCTGAATACACTGATCCGTTCTTTGACTGCCACCACTCAGTATATACTAACTATGTAATGATGCTGTTGAACTAGTCTGAATCAACCCTTCAGCTTGTTTCTGACATTTTTTTCTGATTTGATTGTATTTATTTTAGTTCAAACGGTTTAAGTGAGTTGATATTCTTGGTTGACTCTATAGGCACTGACGAAGCTTGTAGCAGTGTGCGGTCCATATCATAGAATGACCGCCGGAGCATACAGTCTACTTGCTGTTGTGCTGTACCATACTGGGGACTTTAACCAGGTATTCACTTTAATAAAATTCAGGACTGTCTCCAAGGCATCGCTCAATTCACTTACTTCCTGTGCAGAAGAATGTATCTGCTGCAACTAATCAGTTTTGATTTTTCAGGCTACCATTTATCAGCAGAAAGCACTCGACATAAATGAAAGGGAACTTGGACTTGATCACCCAGACACAATGAAAAGCTACGGCGACCTAGCCGTCTTCTACTATCGTCTTCAACACACAGAATTAGCTTTAAAGTATGCTCTCTGTATTTCTCAAAGCCAAAGCCGAAAAAAAATTAATTGTTTTCAAGCTGCTAACATGTTATTCGTGTTGTAGATATGTCAACCGTGCATTGTATCTTTTGCATCTAACATGTGGACCGTCACATCCAAATACTGCTGCCACTTATATCAATGTAGCGATGATGGAAGAAGGTTTGGGGAATGTCCATGTGGCTTTAAGATACCTTCATGAAGCGTTGAAATGTAACCAGAGACTACTTGGAGCTGATCATATCCAGGTTCGTTTTTCTAAACAAGGACTTGAGCTTAAACAGAAAATTGTGGAAGGTAAACAACGCACTTAAAAAAAAGAATTATTTCTGTTGTAAATTTTTAAATTTTTCAGACTGCTGCAAGTTACCATGCTATTGCTATTGCTCTTTCTCTGATGGAAGCCTACTCTTTGAGCGTCCAACATGAGCAGACCACTCTACAGATTCTACAGGCAAAACTAGGCCCTGAGGATCTTCGGACACAGGTGTGTAATTAGCTTTCGATTTACATGGAGTTTCCCTTTGAAGGTTTCTTACGCTCAAGAACTGTTTTAGGATGCGGCTGCGTGGCTTGAGTATTTTGAGTCTAAAGCTCTGGAACAGCAAGAAGCTGCACGAAATGGTACTCCTAAGCCAGACGCTTCTATTTCCAGCAAAGGCCATCTCAGGTATTAAAACGTTTGTCTTCGTATATTCTTAGGACCGTTACATATTGTACAAAGGACCAAAAGCTTTCTTCCCAATAACAGTGTATCAGACCTGCTGGATTATATAACTCCGGATACTGATCTTAAAGCAAAAGACGCCCAAAGGAAAGCTCGCCTAAAGGTCATAGTTGCTTTCTGCTGACTTAATCCATGTTTTTGATGAACTTCTCTCATTAACTAAGTTGTGACAGATTTTGATCTAAAATGTTTATTCAGGTCAAGGGAAGACCAGGACAAAGTCCAGGACCTGTGTCTGAAGATAATCAGAAAGATGATGAAACTCTGAGTCCGACTCATGTCACTGGAGAGAGTTCAAGTGACAAAGAGAACAACTCAGAAGCAAAACCTGAAGAAACAAAGGTTGAGAAACGTGACTTGAAACCTCAAGATCAGCCCACGCTGGTTAAGATAGACTCCAGGCCCCAAGTGGATGATGACTCTGACGAAGGATGGCAAGAAGCTGTCCCGAAAAATCGTCATCCTTCTGGGCGTAGAACCCGTCCCAGCCTGGCAAAGCTGAACACAAACTTCATGAACGTGACCCAGCAGACAACAAAAAGCAGAGGAAAATCCAACAATTTCACCTCCCCAAAGACTTATTCAAATGAGCTTACAATCTCTGCTGGTGGCTCCACATCCCAGCACGCGAAGAAGCTTTTGAAGAGCTCAAGTTTGAACAGAAAGCAAAACAGTTCCAATGCAGTTGGAGAAAAGGTGGTAAACAATAAATCAGCCCTGGCAAGCTCACCTTGCACCGAACAGGTTAATAAGCCAACTCTGATGGTGAGTCCTGTGACTCCCCAAGCTGGAAAACTGTTTTCTTATAAAGAAGTTGCACTGGCACCCCCTGGAACAATTGTGAAAATAGTTGCGGAGCAGTTGTCAGAAGAAACTACTGCTCCAGACACTTTGGAGGCAGCAAAGGTTGCAGTAGATGGTCCTGAAAAAGTTAAGTCTGAGGATGTTGTTAGTGAGAATAAACATGTGGCTACAGAAACGGAAGCAAAAAATGCTGATAGCAATGAACAAGGAGAGGTGGCTGAAAAGGCAGCAGAAGAAGGATCTCCAACAGAGACAGCTGTTTCAGATGCCAGTCAAGGAAAATCTGAAAGTGTACAAACGGCTGAGGACTCAAATGGAGTGAAGCAACATAAGGATGTCTCTGGTACTGAACTGAAAGCAGTAGATGGTGAAACGGAAGATCTGCCCAATGGAGACCCAAGCCCAAAGACATCAATAGTTGCAGATGGAGAAAAGCAAGAAGCCTGCGAGGCACAAAAGGAGATGAGCAAGAAGCTCTCTGCTTCTGCACCGCCCTATACCCCAACAACCATTCCAATTTTCGGGTCGATAGCAGTTCCAGGATTCAACGACCACGTGGGGATCCTTCCCTCCCCACTAAACATGCCGCCACTGCTTCCTGTAAACCATATCCGAAGGTCAGCTCCTCACCAATCTGTAACAGCTCGAGTTCCCTATGGGCCTAGGCTCTCAGGTGGTGGTTACAACCGATCTGGAAACAGAGTTCCTCGTAACAAACCAAGCTTCCCAAGTATCGCTGAGTCCAATGGAGAGGCTAATCAGTTCATTGGTCCAAGAATAATGAACCCTCATGCAGCTGAGTTCATACCGAGTCAGCCATGGGTTTCTAATGGCTATCCAGTGTCACCAAACGGCTATAATGGCACGGAAATAACACAGAATGGGTACCCGTTGTCGCCAGTAGCAGAAGGTGCATATCCGTGTAACATACCTGTACAGCCTCAGAATGGACATTCTATACCTGGTACTGAAATGGCTGAGGAGAAGAGTGGAGGTGAAGAAGAGAGTAACAAGGAGAAGAAAGCTGCTGAGGATGAAGAAGTCATTGCACAAGAAACTACAGAAACATCTGAAAACGGACACTCGATAGTAGGTGAAGAGAAAACCACAGCACAAGAGGTAACCGACGAGAAAGGACAAGGAGGCAAGTGCTGGGGAGATTACAGCGACAATGAAGTTGAAGTCACAGTTTGAAGAAGCAATTTTTCTGTCATTGAAGTATTTTAACATTGAGGCTTAAAAGGAATGGAGAGAAAACTTGGCTCCATGGATGAGGTTTGAGTTACATCATAGTTCGCGGGAAGGTGAGAGGAAACCATTTCTAAGTTTAAATCTTTTGTGTTGCAGCGGAGGACCAAGACTTGTCACTCCTGCTTTTAACAACTCTACTCCTGCTTTTTTTTTTTTTCAGTTTTTGGTTTCCGTAGTTGAAAACTAAAAATTATTGAACTCGTTGAGGAGCCTCTCGAATAAAGTCATTTGTCGTTTTGTTTTGATTAACTGTGAATACTGTTGTGACAGAGCGAGCGCATCATGACCTAGAGATAACTTATGGGATCCCAAAATGCACTGTGAATATCTACAATGGTTAAGCTGAGTCTCTATGTTGGCTAAACAATGGTTACGACATGTTTGATAATGATAACATTTCCTATCATGCAAGGCTGCTTCTTCTGCAACGTTGTTGAGTGTTGTTCCAAGTATTCTCTGCTGTTCATCACAGGTAATTTGTCAAGAATATAAAACAGATTAAACAGCAACCGTTGCTAGATCGTACCCGCTAATGTTGACAGTCTTTTAGCAAAACCAAGCTCATTGTCCAATCATAGAAAAACTTCATCACTGTTTCTTGATCTTGAAGAGGTTCTAGGTGTGTGCATAAGATAAGAGAATATCACTATTCTCTCCAGCAGTTCTAGAGGGCTATCCTCAGCTGCTCACAGTAGCGTGGCTTTGGTCTCATACAGTCACTTCTTTACTCTCTTTGACCGGTCCGGAAACAACCCAAAAATGAAATCTGTCAAAATAAACCGAATCAAATCGGCTATTAAACCGACTTAAACCATCGGATCGTTAAAACTTGAACCAACAAATAATACAATCTTAGGCCCATGATTGTCCGAAAGCCCAAAACGGCCTCATTGGCTTTTCTCCTAGTCGTCACTGGAGAGAACATTGGCCATCTGCAAATTTCATTTTTCAATAGACCAAAACTTCTCACCGTTCGTCTTCGGATCAGCCATGGAGGATGAGGTGATCTTTCATATTTTCTTATTTATTTAATATAGATAGGAATGATATTAACTCTGTTTTTCCGCCGGAGATTGTAAAATGAGGACATGAAAAAAAAATCGAAACTTTTGTTTCTGAAAATTCGATCTGATTGATCACTTTCTCATGATTCACCTAAAATACGACATCGTTAAGATTTGTTGTATATGTAATTCGATTTTGATGAAAGCTAAGCTACTAGGTTTTGTTGCTTGCGTGATGTGTTCAATATGGTAGAGTTAGATTAGGAATCATAAGGCGAAACAGAGATAGATGAAAGATTTGAATTTTAAAGAGGTTTTTGAATAGAGAAGAAATATAACTAAATTAGGGAAGAAAAAGGTAAAGCTTTGAATTGGAAAAGAAATTATTTCTATCCTTTAGTTTCATCTTTGTGAGTTACTAGGAAGTGCATCTCGCTGTCTTACTTGTTTTGTAATTGTTTCAGATTGAACTGAAAACTGCTCCTGCTGATTTCCGTTTCCCTACAACGAACCAGACAAGGCATTGCTTCACCCGTTACATTGAGTTCCACAGGTACACTCTTGTTCTAGTTTCAACAACATGTAGTCTTCTTTGATTTGAGTTAGTGTCTATTCTAAACCATTATCTGTAGGTGCACGACTGCAAAGGGTGAGGACTCCAATGAATGCGAGAGGTTCGCCAAGTACTACCGTGCTCTCTGCCCTGGTGAATGGGTTTGTTACCTTCTTTATGTCTTTTCCTCTGTTTCTTCATAATCATCTTCATCTTTCTCTGCCCACATTCTTTAACTATGCGCTAATCTTTCCTCAGGTTGACAAGTGGAACGAGCAGAGAGAGACCGGAACTTTCCCTGGTCCTCTCTGATCTTGAGCAAGAAAGCTCTCTTTCATCATGTTTTTGTTTAAGGCCATAAGGTCGTGTGGATGATCATTTCAATCCATCTCTATCTTTTTGTTAATCTCTTCTCTTTGATTGATCAAATAAATTAAACTGCAAGACATTCTTTTGGATTAATAATGATTTAAGCTTGGATTTTAAAACTCCCAATTTAAATTTTGAGGCTATTTTGTCATTTCTAACAAATATAGGGTGTCATTTGCAAAGTGCCTATCTACCTGTCATTGACAGTTACATCCCAACAGTTTTTCGTCGCGGACAAAAACTACCTGTTGCGTAAAGATCTAACTTCGGCGGCATGAGTAATGAGTGTCATTTTTTAGTTTCCACCAGACATAACTTTAGAGACCTCTGCCTTAAACACCAAACAAAAATGGTTGAGTGTAGCAACAACCTTGTCGGAATCCTCAACTTCTTCACCTTCCTCCTCTCAATCCCCATCCTCTCCGCCGGAATCTGGCTCGGCAAAAATGCAGCCACCGAGTGTGAACGTTTCCTCGACAAACCAATCGTCCTCCTCGGAATCTTCCTCATGTTCGTCTCCATCGCTGGCCTCGTTGGCGCTTGCTGCCGTGTCTCTTTCCTCCTATGGCTTTACCTTTTCGCTATGTTCATTCTCATACTCGTTGGATTCTGTTTCACCATCTTTGCCTTCGTTGTTACTAACCGTGGTGCCGGTGAGGTTTTGTCTGATAGAGGGTATAAGGAGTACCGTGTGGGAGATTACTCTAACTGGCTGCAGAAAAGAGTTGGTAACGCTAAGAATTGGGATCGGATTAGGAGCTGTTTGGTTTACTCCAACGTGTGTTCCACTTTTAGTAGTCGCTATGCGACGGTCACTGTTAATGAGTTCTACAAGACCAATCTCAATGCCCTTCAGGTCACATTCTATTCAATTTTTTTTTTTTTACAAAGAGGTTTCAAATTTAAATAACATAAAACGTTTATAGTTTATCATAGTTTAGGTAGCATTTGGCTACATTTTGTTATGTAACATGTAACCGAAGTTATTATAGAGATTTCTTACTGAGTTTCTTAGGGGGATTTTTTACGTGGGTCCATGAACAGTATAAGAGACGGTTACAAAAACTATGAATTAAGAACCGATTCTTATGGATTTTTTGCACTGTTCGCGGACTTCATTGACACATGACAGCCCGCAATTGGTTTGCTTTTAACTTTTTTTTTTTTTAGAAAAAAAAAATTAGGAAACCAAGTGAGTTTTTAGGGATAACTATACTATTGTGATAATGTGAGTCGTTTTATTTCATATGATGAATTTCACTGAACACCTTTTTTGTGTGCTTATTTGTGTAGTCTGGTTGCTGTAAGCCGTCTAATGATTGTAACTTCACCTACGTGAGTCCGATTAATTGGACAAAGACTAATGGTCCATACACAAACGAGGATTGTAACGTTTGGGACAATAAGCCGGGGACTCTATGTTACAACTGCCAAGCGTGCAAGGCCGGTTTGCTTGACAACCTCAGGAACTCGTGGAAAAAAGTGGCTGAGGTGAACATTGTCTTCCTCGTATTCCTCATTATTGTCTACTCTGTTGGTTGTTGCGCCTTCAGGAACAATAGGGTACGCCGATGGCGTTAGATACTTATGTCCTGAGATATAAAAGAACAAACCAAGACTTAGACCAAAGAAGATATCTAAAGTGCCATCATCTTACTCTTGAGTACGTAAAATACAGCCTTTAAGACAACTCTTTGATCGCTTTCTCTTGTGTGTGTGTGAGGTTGCATATTTCTATGTCTTTTATCTGTTATATATGCAACATACTAAATGAGTTACAATGGGACTTTCTTTGTGCTACTATTTCTAGTCTTTTTGTGTAAGTGTAGTAGCTTCTTCATTTGTTTATTAGTCGATTTTTCTTATGTCTGTCCACGTAGGGGTGGGCGTTCGGGTACCCATTCGGGTTCGGTTCGGATCTATTCGGGTTTCGAGTTTTCGGGTTCACAAATTTTAGCCCCATTCGGATATTTCTAAATTTCGGTTCGGGTTCGGTTCGGATCTTTGCGGGTTCGGTTCGGGTTCGGATAACCCATTTAAATTCTTTTTAAAAATTTTAAAATTGATTATATACTTTAAACTTCTAAAAATTTATAAACAAAATAATATATTACAAATAATTGAATAACATAAGTCAAAATACCTAAAATTAACATATAAATTAGTTTGATTTGAATATTTGGATTGTGAATCAATAATATTTTAAAGTATTTTTGATGTTTTGAGTGTACTTTAGCAATTTTAGACATATATGTTTGACGATTTACATATATTTGCAAGTATTCTGAACAACTTCAAAGTATTTTATATATATTGATTTTTTTATATACATTAAATCTAAAATAATTAATATATATAGGTATATAAATCTCTTTCGGATATATTCGGGTACCCGAAATACTTCGGTTCGGGTCGGGTTCGGTTCTTTAAATACCAAATTTGTGAACCCATTCGGATATTAAATTAATTTCGATTCGGGTTCAATACTACTTTTTCGGATCGGGTTCGGTTCGGTTCTTCGGATCCGGATTTTTTGCCCAGCCCTATGTCCACCGATAGAAAATATGTTTTCTTTCTATTATTTGATGAAATGATATATCTTTGAACCAATAAGAGCTGGATGCATGGAAAGACATACAATCATAGGATAATGACAAAGACTGACTCATGGTACACATCATCTTACCATCCTCATTGTAATCCTTCCATACTTTGTAGCTATTACTTTATTTGGGACATAATATATCAAGACTTGATCTCGAGATTGAATTTGAGATTCACAAAGAAGAAAACGAGAGAGAAAAATTGAAGAAGATGAAAACAAAAAGTTTGTTATTCAGCTCATTCTGTTTCTACTGTACATGACACATATATATATGTTACTGGTTAAGCAAAAGGAGACTTAACCAGAATCTAATTTAACTAAACCAATTGTACTAAACTATCCTAATACACCCTCTCAAGTCTTTGACTGCAGAACTGGAAGAAAAAGACTTGACAGTGAAAGTCTCTGCAACATGGAGAGAAAAGGACCTAGATAAAGTGGTTTAGTCAAGATATTAGCAAGCTGGTTTCCAGAAGAAACATGAAGAGTAAGAAGATAACCAGCCTTGATCTGATCATGTACAGTATGACAATCTATCTCGATATACTTTGTACGCTCATGAAAGACAGAATTAGTAGCAAGATGAACAGCCGACTTGTTGACACATAAAAGCTTTGGTGTAGAAGTCGTGGTGATATGAAGATCCTTGAGAAGTTGTTGAAGCCATAAAAGTTCACATGTAGCAAGAGCAAGACTGTGATACTCAGCTTCTGTGCTACTTCTACTTACAACTGTCTGCTTCTTAGATTCCAAGAGATCAAAGATGTTCCAATATACACACAAAAGCCTGTAACAGAACGCCGTGTATCCTTGCAGGCTGCCCAATCAGCATCAGCAAAAGCACTCAAACAACAAGCCTTGTCATGGATTAGTCTTGAGATACCGAAGGACCTTAAGAGCTGCCTGATAATGAACATTTGTAGGAGCAGAGAGAAATTGACTGAGCTGATGGACTGCAAAAGTGATATCAGGACGTGTTATACATAAGTATAACAAACGACCAATGAGCTCTCTATACTGAGTAGGAGTAGACAATAGCTTGCCAAGATCCTTTGTCGAACGCAGATTAGGATCCATCGGTATAAAGCTTGGTTTACATCCCAACAAACCATAATCCTCAAGTAAATTCAGGGTATACTTGCGTTGACAGACATAAATACCAGAAGAGGATCGAGCAATCTCCAAACCAAGAAAGTACCTCGCTGGACCAAGATCTTTGATTTTAAACTCAGAACGTAGCAAAGTCCTAAGATCATCAACAACAGTGTCACTATCACCAACAATTAGTATATCATCAACATATACTAATGCTGCAACAAATGAGTCAGATGTCTTCTTCACAAACAACATATTATCGGCTGGAGATTTAACAAAGTTATCACCAAGTAAGACTGAGGAAAATCTCTTATACCATTGGCGAGAAGCTTGCTTCAAACCGTATAAACTTTTGCGAAGTAGACACACCGATTTTGGAGGTAAAATAACTCCAGGAGCAGGCGTATAGCTTTGAGGAAGACTCATATAGATTTCCTCATCAAGATCACCAAGAAGAAAGGCATTAGACACATCCATTTGTGTCAGACTCCATCCCTTCGCAGATGTAAGACTCAACAACAACTTCACACTAGTCAATTTAGCAACTGGAGAAAAAATTTCCAAGTAATCAACACCCTCTTGTTGTGTAACACCCCGAGCTACTAAACGAGATTTAGGACGCTCCACAGTACCATCCGAATTATACTTCAAAGTGAAAATCCAATGACACCCCACCACATTCTTCCCATCTGGCAAAGTAACAATATCCCAAATTCTGTTTTGCTCAAGAGCTTCAAGTAAAGTATCAACGAGTAACAGAAGATGAGCGGCAAAACGAAATCCCTGATTGCGAAACACAAATGACGCTAGAATCGCGAGAAAAGAGATATCGGGAAGCTCGTATCGTAGCGGAAGATTCGTGTGTGGGTTCTGATACCATATCAAGACTTGATCTCGAGATTGAATTTGAGATTCACGAAGAAGAAAACGAGAGAGCAAGGTTGAAGAAGATGAAAACAGAAATGTTCCAAAAAAAAGAAAAAAAAAAGAAAAGAAAATGAAAACAGAAAGTTTGTTATTCAGCTCAATCTGTTTCTACTGTATATGACACATATATATATATGGTACCGGTTAAGTGAAAGGAGACTTAACCAGAATCTAATTTAACTAAACCCATTGTACTAAACCATCCTAATATAATATATCTTCTTGTAAAGCATCAACATGCATTAACTAAGCTGTATGCAAACTTGTTTAAAGAGCCTGATTCTTGATACAATTTTTTTTTTTTTTTGGAAATAAAATTTTACTTACGACATCTTTTTGTTTGTTAATGACATGGAACTGGTATTTTGTGGATATTCTTTCTTTTGGATGATATTTTTGTTAGATAAAAATACATATATGTTTCCAGATACCCGTTCGATCGAGTTTATGAGTTCAACTTTTTTAGATACTTTTCAAATTATATATCTATATAACAA